CCGCCACTGTGCCTGCACGACAGCGGAGTTGAGCGTTAGAATGAGCGTCAGCTGCCCCCAGGAAGTTCTGCAGTTTGCAAGGGGCAGACCCCCTTCATAGCAATCAGCCTTCAAAAATTGGCCTTCCCAATATTGTTTACTCACAACCCTCTCGGCTTCTAGAAGACTCCAGGGCGGCGAACTGTAGCTCCGAGACAGCGCAAGTTGCCCAGACCAGCCCGCGACGGTTCTTCGGCCCGACAACGACCCAACCTGTACACAAGAGGCCCCAAGAGGCCCCCCAGAAACCCCAGGAGGCACCCACAGAGGGCCTCAAAGCCCGCGATGGCACGAGGCCCTGATTGCCCAATAACGACTGTGAAATCATTTTCGAGGAATGCTTACGTAGAGCTACCTATCTGTTACGGCTGTGTAGATCGCATCGGTGCACACGCCATAAAAGTCTCACTAGAGTGGCCGCCTAGACGTGCCCAAAATTCGATCAGATCGAGGGGCTTTTCGGAGAAGAGCTCGATTTTAAAGCCATTCGCGAAAGCCCCCCCCGCCTTCCTCCCAAGCCCCGCACTCCCGACGGCGCCTCCATCATAACACCCAGGAGGTGGGGCCCAGTGTGAGAGGCCCCCGAAGAAAGCCTTTCAAGTCTGGGCACCAGAAAAAAAACCCTTCGAGAAGCCTCCACGATGAATTCCAGAGGGACCATGGAGGGGGAGGTGGTGGTGATCGTGGTCACTGCATATGGGGAACAAATCCCGAGCAGAGCAACAAGCACCACGACCACGACGACACCGCCGACGACGACGGAGACGAGGCGCGCAGTCGATCCGCACCGAGACACCGATTTGGGACAGAGCCCGCCCTGCAGAATCGATGGAACACCACACATCGTGGAGCGGTGCTGCGGCCTCCTCTGAGCACAGCCCCCCACCCCCCGAGCATCCGCCAGACAAGTCGGGTTTGCACCCGCATGCCTTGCAGGACTCTGGGCGCATTTCGGCACTGCCACTCCCGCCGCCACCCCCTCCTCCTCCTCCTCCTCCTCCTCCTCCTCCTCCTCCTCCTCTTCCTCCTCCTCCTCCTCCTCCTCCTCCTCCTCCCCCTCCTTCTCCTAGGCCCCTCCTACCCTCCTTCCTCCTCTCCCCCTACTTCATCTCTCCCCTCTCCTCACCTCCCCACCTCCCTCTCCCTACTTCCTCTTCATCCTCCTCCTCCTCATCCTCCTACTCCTCCTCCTCTCCTCTTCCTCATCCTCCTGGCACCGTCTCGGGTGACGGCGACGCGGCAGTGCGGTGGTCGACGCGTCCCAGGGCCGAGAAACTCTGAGGAGGGTTGAGTATGAAGAGAACAAGGCTGTGGACACGAGGGGGGGTTTAAGGCGCACGCCAAGTCAGACAAGGCACTGAATTGGAACAACTTTCAACTTCGGCCTCCCCTTTTTTGCTCTGCCACGCTGGCACGGTGGCGGGGTTCGCCGAAGACAGCCAGATAATCAAGCCACAAATAAACGTCATCGGGTACATTCTGTAAAGTAGCCTCTAGTGGTTGCGCCTGTATGTGAGACACGAACAAAGTAGCCATTCCTACACCAGGGCCTTTACCGGCAAGCCAAACTTCTGCGAGAGACCATTCTTCGTTCTGATTCTGTCTCAGCCATAACTTGATATTCTCGGCAAAGTCGTACCCGGTCAACTCATCGCCGCACATCCCGGTGATGTAGTCGAGCTTGCCGCGCTGTTCAAACACAGTCTTACGGCTGTATTTCTCCGGATTGAAACCTATCATGTCTGCTGCCAGCTGAACGCTCTGCTTTGTCATGCCTAGGAGCAGGTGGAACTCATCATTCTCGGACGTGTCGAACAAACTGCTGAGTTCTGGGCGGGTCCTCATTTCCTGTGTGTCCAGGCCGGAATAGAACTCACTGACCTCGCCCCTCACATTCTGCGTCGGGTGGAACATTCTGGAAAACCAGCCGCTTCAACGCCGAATTTTGCTCCGCAGCCCACCGAAGGTCCAAGCGACAACTGCGCGCGGCGATCGGGGCGCTGGCACGCTACGAGAGACCCGACCTGGCACGAAGAGAAAGCGTCCTGAGGGGAGCGGATCCAGGACCCCGGGGCCTTCCCCCAGGACCGACGCTTCGCCCCGAGCTACTCTTCTCTGACAGTCCCTGGGCCCGTGGACTCGCCATCGCTCGGACGTCCATTCCCTGTGTTTTTTTGTTCGGTTTCGAGCGTGGTCTTTTTCGCCAAATGGTCAAGGATGCTCCTCGATGGTCCTCGCCGAAGGAAAAATGCACTAGTCCGAGCGATGCCAAGGACCTTCCCCCGGGACCGACGCTTCGCCCTGAGCTGCTCTGCTCTGACAGTCCCTGGGCCCGCGGAGGGCCCTTGTTGGAGGCTACAGACGGCGAAAACACTCAGGACCTGTTCTCCCCATGGCGAACACGACCGCTCGCGTGGACAGCCGCAGCCGGCGCCCGAGCGGCCCTTGAGCCGACGCGGCTGCGCGCCGACCCCGGGACCTCCGACGCCGCGATGCTTGGGCGTTGCTTTAGGGGGGGGAGTTGGGGGGGGGGGGCGGCGACCAAGGGGGGGGCGGGCGGCGGGGGAGAGAAACGTGACGTGCACCGCTCGTGCCTCTTTTGGGCCCCAGGGGGGCCTTTTTGGGGCCTCCGCGAGGGCGCCAAAGATGCACCTCCTTTCTTCGCCCACCCACCCATTTACCACCGCCCCCCCCCCTCCGTTACGCAACGCCCGAGGCGTCTTCGCATGTTCCCGCGGGCCCCAGGAGCTTCTCGACCTCTGCGCCCCCGGGAAGGGGTCCTCGCCACGGGTCCTCCTTTGCGGGCCCCGGGCCTGGAAGCCGAGACCGCGGGCACGGGACGACGGGCCTGCATCGTGCTCCGTGCTCGCGGAACCCCCTGGAGGTCCGAGGTGCTGCCGCGGTCGAGGTTTGCACGGGCCCATCGCACGGGTGCGCCGTGCACCACGACCCGCGGGACGGGTCGACCGCCGCGGGCCGCCTCTAGTGCGGGCCCCCTCCGGGGGGCGGGGGGCAACAAAACCTGCTGGTCGGGACCGGAGTCGCCCCAAGATCACACGTGCGGCGAGCCCTGTGAGTGGTTGGGCCTCTCTTTTAACCTCGCCAGTCCCCACCAAATGGGGCGCGACGCTCTCGGGCGCCCGACCGGGCCTGTGCTACGCTGTGGCAAGGTCCTGCCGTGACGACGTCGGCTGTGGCCTCTGACACCGCGTGAGCCTTTCAGTCTTGCAATGCAGAAGCCGCTCGTCGAGAACACGAGCCCCTTCTTAGAACGCCCGACGGAGAAAATCCAATAGGAGAACCCGACCACGAAGTACATGATTAGGGTACGTCTCCAAAGCTCGGGCTGCTCTTGACCCCCAGAAGCCACCAGGTCTCCAGAAGACTCCAGAAGACTGCATTGGCATTCAGTCGTCTCCGCAGGCTTCTGGAGGTTCCTGGCTCGCTCGCTCGTGCGTGCCATACGCCGAAACACGTGGGCGAAAAACGCAACGGCCAGGCCAGCCCAACTTCGCCGTTTTGCGGGCGCGGTGGCACGAAGGCAGCTGCATATCTACCTCGTGCGCAGGATGCGGCGGAAAAAAAGGAGAAAGAACAAGGAGGGAAGGAGAGGGACGGGGGCATTCGACTGGCGAAATATATGAACTAGAACCATCGCGCGCGCTTCGCGCGCGCTCAGGTTCTAGAGGGCCCCAGGCCTTGACCACAGCACACGCTTGCCAATCTGCTTTCCGAAAGGCCTTCGAGGAAAATGGTTGTGTAGGGGGGCGGAGGCCGTTTGAATCGGGCTCCCAGAAGGCTTCTGGGAGCATGGGTTTGGGGGCGTCTTGGGGAGCCTGTTGGGGCGTGTCGTCGTCGTCGTCGTCGTCGTCGTCGTCGTCGTCGTCGTCGTCGTCGTCGTCGTCGTCGTCGTAATGTCGTGGTCGCCTATGGGGCGCGCCGTCGTCGTCGTCGTCGTCGTCGTCGTCGTCGTCGTCGTCGTCGTCGTCGTCGTCGTCGTAATGTCGTCGTCGTCGTCGTCGTCGTCGTCGTCGTCGTCGTCGTCGTCGTCGTAATGTCGTCGTCGTCGTTTCGTCGTCGTCGTCGCTTCAAGATGGCACTCGGGGCAACTTTGTGCGAAACGATCTGCGGAGGGCCGCGAGAAGGCGATCAGTCATGTTCCCAATCAACTTCTCAGACAGCTCTCCTGTAGCATGATGGTACTTCGAAACCTCCGGAGACTCGCGGGCCCATGATGAACCATGTCCCCGGAAGGCTTTCTGGGGACATGGTTTGTTGGGGTGTGTTGGGGGGTCTCTTGGGCGTTCCCTGGGGGCCCCTTGGGGGCCTCCGGGAACTCTCGGGCCCATGATGAACCATGTCCCCGGAAGGTTTTCTAGGGACATGATTTCTTGGGGTGTATTGGGGGGCCTCTTGGGCGTTCCCTGGGAGCCCCTTGGGGGTCTCTTGGGGCTTCCTGGCGGCCTCTTGGGCGCCTCACGGGGCTTCGTGGGAGCCTCTTGGTGGCCTCCAGGGGCCTACAGGCGGCCTCTAGGGCCAGAGACCTCGAAATATCGGTTGGCGGTCCCCTATGGGCCCTCTCTTGGGGAGCCCTTGGGGCACAGTTGGTTTGTCTGGGGAGCCTCCTGAGCCGTCTTGGGGCCCTCTTCGGGGCCTCGTGGCCCGTCTTGGAGCGATCTGAAGGGCCTCCGAGCGAGGCCGTGAGGGAGCGCTGGGAAGCGGGGAAAGCGAGAACGCCTAAGTCCTTCAAAAACCATCGGAAAATTAGTGAACCTTGTCTCCCTGGGCCCTCTCGCGGAGCCTGTTGGGTCCGTCCTGGAGCGTGTTGGAGTCCTCGTCGGCCGTCTTGAGGGCAGCTTGGGCGTCTTCGGAGCCTCTTGGGACCGTCTAGGGCCCTCTCGGGACCTCCATTAGCCTGTCGTGGCCTGATTCGGGGCGGGCTGCCTCGGGACCCCTCTGGGCCTTCTCTTGGCGCGCTCTTGGGGCACACTTGGGTTGTCTGGGGAGCATCCTGGGCCGTCTTGGGGCCCTCGTCGGGGCCTCGTGGGCCTTCTTGGAGCGATCTGAAGGGTCTCCGAGGCCGTGAAGGGAGCGCTGGAAAGCGGAAAAAGCGAGAACGCCAAAATCCAAAACACTCGGAAACGAGTGAATCTTGCCTTCCAGGGCCCTCTTGGGGAGCCTCTTGAGTCCATCCTAGAGCGTGTTGGAATCCTCGTCGGCTGTCTTGAGGGCATCTCGGGTGTCTTCGGGGCCTCTCTGGACCGTCTTGGGCCCTCTCGGGACCCCCTTAGCCTGTCGTGGCCTGCTTCGGCGCGGGCTCGGCCGCCTCGGGAGCTCTGGACCCCCCCCGCAACCCCCGGTGGGCACCGCTGGGAGGAACAGGCAGCGGCCCGCCCCCCTCCTGGGCCTACTCCGAGATAGAGAATCATGCTCCCGGGAAGCTTTCCAGGAGCATGATTTGTTCGGCTCTTTAAGAGGGGGGCCTCTGGGGGCTTAACCAGGGGCCCCTTTTGGCCTTGTCGGCAAGCCTGTTGGAAACATGGTCGGGGAGGTGGGCGGAAGCAGAAGGAATCATGTTCCCGGCGCTATCTGGGGAATCCGATTTACCGAAATGTCTTGGGGGCCCGCAGTGGGCTTCCCTGGGGGCCTCTTGGGCTCTTGGGGGCCTATTATGGCTTCCCGGGGGCCTCTTGGGAGCCTCACGGGGCTTCTTGGGAGCCTCTTGATGGCCTCTGGGGGCGTCCTAAAAGCCTCTCAGGCCGGAGACCTTGAAATGTCGCGCTCTTCGGGCCCTTTGGGTCGCTTTTGGGGCTCTCTTGGGGCGCTCTCGAGGCCCTCTTGACTTATCTGGGGAGCCTCCTGGGCTGTCTCTGGGCTTTCTTGGGAGCCTCTGCGGCCGTCTTGGAGCGATCTGAAGGGCCTCTGACGCGGTCCGGGACTTTGGGGAGGCATGGGAGAGCGCAAGAATGCTTCAAAAACCATTGGAAAATCTATAACTTTCAGCTTCTGGGGCCTTTTGGAGGGGCCTCTGGAGGCGCACGTGGGGCGTTTTGGCGGCGTCGTCGGCCGTCCTGAGGCCATCTTCGGCGTGTCCGGGGCCTCTGGGGGCTGTCTTTGGGCGTCCTGGGAATCCGGAAATCATGTTCCCGGAGAGGCTTCAGGGAACATGATTTCGAACGAGGCTCTCTTGGGCCTCCCTGAGGCCGTCTTGGGGACCTCCTGGGCCGGCTTTGGGGCCTCTTGGGCCGTCTTGGGAGGTTCCGTTAGCCCCACAGGACGACCCTTTCGGGCCCCTTCGGGCCCTCTTGGGCCCTCTTGGGTCTCTGTCTGGCTGTCTTGGGGCTCCTCGGGGGCGTCTGGGGCACTGTGAAGACGAAGCAAGCGAGTATGCTGAAGATGTAAGTTTTACGTAGGGAGCTGGCTGATGTTTGCCTTTTGAAAGCCCTCTTGGGGCCCTCTTCGGCCATCTTCAAGCCATCTCGGGCCCTCTTGGGCCTCGCTGAGGCTGTCTTGTGGGCCTCTTGGGCGTCCTGGGAATCGGGAAATCATGTTCCTGGAGAGGCTTCCGGGAACATGATTTTGAACGAGGCCCTCTTGGGCCTCCCTGAGGGCGTCCTGGGGGCCTCCTGGGCCGGCTTCGGGGCCTCTTGGGCCGTCTTGGGGGGTTCTGTGAGCCCCACGGGAGGATCTCTTTGGGCCTTGGGACCTCTTGGGTCTCTCTTGGGCTGTCTTGGGGCTCCGCGGGGGCGTCTGGGGCACTCTGAAGACGAAGCAAGCGAGTATGCTGAACATGTACGTTTTACGTAGGGTATAGGCCGATGTGTGCCTCTTGAAGGCTCTCTTGGGGCCCTCTTCGGCCATCTTCAAGCCATCTCGGGCCCTCTTGGGCCTCGCTGAGGCTGTCTTATGGGCCTCTTGGGCGTCCTGGGAGCCGGGAAGTCATGTTCCGGGAGAGGCTTCGGGGAACATGATCCGGGAGAGGCTTGATGGGCCGGGAGAGGCTCTCTTGCAATACAACGCGGATGATACATTTGGCACAGAGGACCGCACCGCGGAAATCGTGTTCCTGGAGAGGCTTCCGGGAACACGATTTCGAACGAGGCCCTCTTGGGCCTCTCCCTGAGGGCGTCCTGGGGGCCTCCTGGGCCGATTTGGCGCTTCTTGGGCCGTCCAGTGGGGTTCCGTGAGCCCCACAGGCCGACCCTTTTGGGACCGTCTGGGGCCCTCTTGGGTCTCTCTTGGGCTGTGTTGGGGCTCCGCGGGGGCGTCTGGGGCACTGTGAAGACGAAGCCAGCGAGCATGCTGAAAATTTACGATTTACACAAGGAATGGGCGGATTTGTGCCTCTTCAAGGCCCTCTGGCCCGGGGCAGTCCCAAGGGGTCTGTGAACCCCCAAAGGTTCCGCGGGGGCGCCCATGGGGGATACTTCGCCGCTACGAAAGTTCGGCCAAAATTCAACG